TGTTTTACTATCAGCAGTTTGTGAATGAATGGGAAACCTCTGTACTGAGTGCTCTCCATTCATTTAGAACAGGGGCTGCAGAAAAGAGATTGAGGACTATTTGGCCTCAATTTCTTTTGCTATTTAAAAAAAGGAAATGCCAGGGGTCTGTTTTAGACCTCTGATATTTCTCCAAAGCCCCCCCCCCCCAAACAGTAAAAAAGAAAAAATAGAAAATAACTTTAAAAACACTATACAAAAAAACCACACACACACTATACATGTCCAACAGTGTGCACCAAAATAACATTAATGTAACTGTGGCAGCACGTGGCAAAGCATTGTGATGCATTGCCGTGCGTTATGACACCAGCATAGTGCACAAACGATTTTTAACATAAGGTCGCTTATTTACAGTTTTGCGTTACTTAATTTTTTGTTACCGTTTCGCAAACAGACGCAATTTAAAATGTACAAATATTTGTTTATTAACGCAATACAGTTTTTTTTTATCTTTTAGATTTAGTTGGGTGAAAATTATATATTTTTGATTTTTAGTATGCTAATTTATATTTGCAAATTTTTATCAGTTTAATATTGATTTGACAAACATTTGTTCAATTATCGCAAAACCTACAAATTTAGTAGCACCATCTTTTTATTCTACCGGCACTGTGCTTTCAGAAAAAAAATGGTTCAGGGAGTATTTTACAAACACTTGCAACCCAGCAATAGAAAATCAAAACAATGGGGAAAAATTGCAAAAATGGTCTGGCCAGCTGAGGTTAAAAGCGTTCCCAGATTTCCAGTGCCAGAGGATGCAAAGCAACCTCAGAGCATCACTGAGTCACCCCCATGCTTAACTGTAGGCAGAATGTTCTTTTCAGCGTATGCTTTATTCTTCTTCCTCCAGACATACTATACTGTTGATCCTTAGGGTCGAAATGTTCCAGTTTTTTTTTCATCGCTCCAAACAGAATCCCAAAACTTCTGTGGCATATTTATATGATATTGAGCACATTGGAGCCACCAGTGCTGTATGTCTTGGAGTCCTGGCATGGAAAACTTCTGCATTTAGTACAGGCCTTACTGTGCAAAAAGAAACCTCAGTGCCAATTGTCACCAAGTCTTGCTGCAGGTCATTTGCAGTCACTCCAGGGTATTTCTGAACCTGCCTTCTCAGAAATCTGGTTACACTATCCCCGTCCAGGTAATGTAACCCTTTAACTTTGAACTTGCGAACGATGCTTCCAACGTGGTCTCTAGGAACATTCAGTGCCTTCCCTCTCTTTTGGTATCATGTTCCTTGTTTGTGAAGGGCGATGATCTTGTCTCTTTTTCACCGTTCTTTGGACTTATTTGCAATATGTCTAACTCAACAAACCCCTCAACAAATATGTGACACTCAACAAACCCCTAGCCAGTTCAGGTATTTAATGTGTTTTAGCTCAAGCACAATTGGGGCAACAAATGAAGCCCTTGATTAGTTGCATCAGGTGTGCTTGAGACAAGACCTGTTTTGCAAATGTGTGCTCTTGTGAGAGATTCTATTCAGGTTGTTGAATGATTTCATTCAGCCATTAAAAGTTGAATTTTCAGTTTAATTTGGGGAAACCACATTAAACATTTGTTGTGTTGGCATGTTTCAGTTACGCTTCTTTGATTTGTTCATTGCAAATAACTGAAACTGAAAGTTTGTAGATTTTGCCAATAAACCTGATTTACAATGGGGTTGAATAATTTTGATATACAACTGTGTGTTTAATAAATACACACACGTACACACGTACACACACACACACACACACACACACACACACACACACACACACACACACACACACATATATA